GTCTAATTGGCAAAAATTTGGCTTTTAATACTTTAAAATATGGTAAAGTCTTTACAGCCACAACACCAATCACCCCCTAAATCATTCCATATTTTTATTTGTTTTGATGAATTTGATACTTTAAATCCTTCTTTCTTTCATCATCATCACTTGAGTAAGTGTGCCTCTGTCTATAGTTTTTTTTTAGCCATTAAATCTCTTATTTCTTCAGTTAGTGTACATCACTTGCCTCGTAAGAAAATCGTCTCTTTGTCAGAGTTGTTTTCCTCGAACCTTCCATGCTTCTATTCGCACAAGCTTCTGCAACACTGCATCATACTGAAATCCGTGACTGAGTCCACCGAGGACCGGTTCGAGATGCAGCTGCAGAAATCAAGACTAGATCTCCAACTGGGAACCAGAGAAGCAATCTCTCCATCGATCATTTTGGCTATCTTTGTGACATCGCGGTCGTCCATCTCCAGCTCTTCCACCATCTCCGTTGCAACGCTAATTGCTGTGTCGATTTCTATGTCAAAAGGGAAGTATATGTTTCTCACACGCCCTTCAACAACAGAAAAGTTAAAGGAAAGCTTCAAATTTTATGGTCTAGACTTAGAAACTGCAAAGATTCATTTTTATGCCTTGTTAGACCAAATTACAGAGGAGTAATGTGGTAGAGTGTCACAAACCTTCCTTGTCCACTATTCTGAGTCGCAGAAACAGTCCATCACCATTGTCTCTTCTCTCGCCTTTTATGCTTATATCGACATGACCAAAACTCTTATCCTCTTCTTCTTTATCATCATCGTTTTGAAACTCTAAGAGCTCTATTCCAGTCTCATTTCCATTGAAAGCCCATTGGTTTCTATTATCGTCGCTGTAGTAACCCTTTGAGTAGTGAGGATGATCAAAAGAGTTTCCTCTGGTTTGGTGGTCATTGTAGTAATAGTCAACTGCATGATAAGAATGTCTTAGAAGAGTCCCGGCTTCATCTAACTGACCCTGTTCGCTCTCTACGTGTCTCAAATCCGGTTCATCGATACAAAGAAAAGGGTCATCTAATAGTTTATCGGCAGAGAGTCTTAAGGAAACTGTGGCTAAGCACTTCTCTATAAAGCCTTTAACCTCTGGATCCTTCACCTTATCTAATGCGTCTGGTTTCTTGCCCTGAGAAACAGAGTTAATAGTCTTAAACACAATATATATAAAAGCTTGTGATAGAAAAGCTTATAATCCCGGTAAAGCGGACTGATTCTCACCGATATAACTCTCTTGTAAATCTGAGCAGGGTGAGTACACTCGCTGTACGGGTAATCAAACGTTACCATTTCCAAAACACACATCCCAAACGAGTAAATATCGACTAATTCGTTATATTCTTCTTCATAGACTTCAGGAGCCATGAACTCCGGTGTCCCTAAGAGAAAGAAAAAACTCAAACACTTTCAGCATCAGAATCCAATTATGAACTCAGCAAAGTCAAAGAATCAAGATTGCATACCGACACAATGAGCAGCATGAGGGTTTTGTAAGATAGCAGCAAGACCAAGATCCCCAATCTTGACTTCTCCTTGGTTCCCGTTAATGAAAATGTTATCACACTTGAGATCTCTGTGAATCACAGGAGGATTATGGCTATGAAGATAGTTTAAGCCACTCAAGATCTGTCTACACCAATGCTTCACCGCTCTTATGTTCAATCTCTTGTGTTTTAGCCTATACCTACATTCAACACATTTTATTAACCAACATCTTTAATTTTTATATTTACATGAACGTTTATATATTAAGATATGAGAGGCTTACTGTCTCAAGGTGCCAGAAGTGAACATTTCAGTGACAAAGTTGATGTTACGATTCTCGGTATCGACCCAAGAAGTGTAGAATTTCATGATGTTTTTGTGTTTTAGGGTTTTGAGGAGATGGATCTCACAGTAAAGCCTCTCCAACTCATGTGGACTCTGCAAGAAATCGTAGATCTTTACTTGGTTCCATGCAACTTCTATACCTTCATACTCATCAAATCCTCTGTAACTGCAAATCGAAACAAAGGAAGCACAAAAGTAGTTTTTGATTTATGATCAAAATACCTTTTGTTTATGCAGAAACTCAAGTGGTTTAGGCCAAAAGAAAAAAGTGAATCATTTTCCTTTTGTGTAAATTAATCTACCAAAGTGGGGAAGTCACTGAAATGATGAATCTTTAAAGACTCAATCATAAACTGACCACCACTAGGAACCCAAAAATCTAAAGGAAAATCTATGGTTTCTCATTGATCAAGAAACCAGAAATAATCAAAACTTTAATGAGAAAAATTGAGAGCAAAAATAAGAAATTTAAGAGAGAAACTTGATTCTTACACGGTTTTTGAAGATCCTTTACCCAGAACTTCTTTGTACTGCAACAAAATGATCACACAAATACCTCAACAAAACAAAAGAGAATTTTGACAAAAAAAGAAGAAGATATATTATAAACAAACAAATAGTTGAGATTGAGAGATAAAAAAAGAAATTTACTCTTCCATATCTTCCAGTAGGATCAACTTCAACAAACTCAGAGTAATCTGGTTCAAGATGTCTGAGATTGTTCATTATATTCCAAAGCAGAATCAAAAACAACAATACATAGATGGAAATTATAAACAAACCACAAATCCCAAGAAAAGAAAAGAGCAATATAAGTATATTTAATAATATGGGATTCTCTCCTTTTTAATTGGCTAGGTTTTGGGTTTTTTTTATCTTATAGGCTTTTCATCATAATCATCTTTGTACCTCTGACAAACAAACAAACATTAAACTCGTGTAAATGAGGAAGATAAAGAAAACCAAACTC